GTAGGGCAATAGGACTGATTAGTTGATGAGCAATTTTGACTATCTTGAAGGTAGAATTGGGTTCTTCTTCATTTAGAAAACTTGTAATATCGTGTCTTAACTTTCTAACGAGATCAATCTCACTTAAAATGGATTCTAGAACTCTAGATATAGTTAAAAATCTGATTAGTGTTCAACGTTTAGACAGTAACAGTTAGATATAATAGTTGAACAGTAACAATTGAATAGTAACAACAAACTTTCATATGAATACTATATGTAAGAATATAAAAAAATTGAGTCATATGAACACTTGCACATTGAGATAATAACTTTAAAAATATACATGATATATGTATGTATGTTATTATAAGGAAATGAACATGCATAAAAAGTAACATATGAGTAATAGATGAATATGGATTCTCTATAATATCAGCTTGAAGGAATCATAACCAAAAACTTCCTTGTGATTCAAGAGAAGCAACCAAGATTGGATCTTCTATTAGGGGAGGTTGCTAGACAAGCACAGTAAGTGTGTGATTTTCCCTTCTATTTGTATTTATACAATTTAAAATTCTTCTAGTGAATGTATTTACAATAAATATCATGTTCAATGTAAATAAAGTCTAGCGTATTTACAATATTAGCTTCGACTAATGGCATTCGTGATACGATTGCCAAGAAATGAATTACAAGATAGACTTTACAAGATCATCTGGTTCATGCAAGTAAAAAAGAGTATTCAGATTAAGAACATGTAAATGAGTGTTAATTGGGTTTAAAAGATTTACAAGTAAAAGATAAGTTATATATATATATATTCTTTTATCAATATAATGATATGTTTATTTATGTAACAAGTCTATCAAATATTAAGGGAGATCATTAGTTTAGGACTCTATTTTGTCAAGCTTATGTAATTTAAACAAAAGGGAATTAATGCATTTATGTAGTATGCTTTTATTAAATCTTGATATATTTATAAAAGTTCAGCATAACATGTAATATGTTAGTTATCTTGTAATTAATCATTTTGAAATATTTAAGAACACTTATTATGTTATCCACACACACACACACACACACACACACACACACACACACACACACACACACACACACACACACACACACACACACACACACACACACACACACACACACACACACACACACACACACACACACACACACACACACACACACACACACACACACACACACACACAAATTTAATATGAACATAGCCCACATATCATATCATAAAATTTAAAAGAAAAGAGAATACAAACATGCAAAGAAAGCATTTACAACATAACTTGGGATGTTCTAAATATGATATATATTGTGTGGATTGTACGAGGTGTTGAATTATAATAATTGATATAAAGTTCAGAATTATAGGACTTTGTGATGATGGGTTTATTAAGTAAATTGATAGTAGTCGATAACTTGGGATGTTCTAAATACAAACAAAACTTTGCTAAATTTTTGGTAGATTTCAAAAAAAAAAAAATTACCCTCAAATTAAAAGCATATGTTGAGATCTTTTAACATTGATCAAGTCATATAGTCAGACTATTATACTATTCAGATTATCAAACAATTCAATATTAACCTAATAAAAGGTAAATGAAAAACAAAAACAAACAAAACAAAACTCCAAAAAAAAATCAGCTTAAAAAAGAAGAAGCAAACTCAAGCAAACTCAAACAAACTTTCTAAACCTAGTTTAATCTCTAAAACTTACAACTTGTTAGATCGAGGACCCAGATTCAATGAAGAAGTTTAACTCTTAACTAATTTAATTTTGAAGGATAAAGTCCTTGAAGAAATATTAATAAAAAAACTTGCAAAAGCCAAAAAAAAATAAAAAAAAGGAATGAGGATAAACATTGAGAGAAAAAAAACCTAAGGATGAAATTTAAAAAAAATTAAAAATTATCCCAATCAAAATAAATAGCAATTAAAAAAATAAGTACCAAATTTGAAAAATTAAAAAATCATAAAGGGTGAAATTGAAAAAAATATATAATTTGATAAATTATTTATATATTTAAAATTATAGGGGTGAAATTGAAAAAACTTATAGAGGGTGAACCCAATAGAATAAAATTGCAAAAAATAAGGAAAGAAAACCTCCTAAAAATGGATAGAAAGTGAGAAAAAAACAGCTTTAAAAAGGAAAAAAAAAAACTTGAGCAAACCTCCTAAATCTAGTCTAATATCTAAAACTCAAAACCCATAAAATCTTAAGCTTGAGTTCAATCAAGAAGCTCAATTATTAACAAATTTAATTTTGAATGATGAAATATACAAAAACAATTAATAGAAAAACTTGCAAAAAAAAAAGAAAATAGTAACAAAAAGAATGAGGATAAAATTTAACAAAAAAGGTGCAAGGATGAAATTTTTAAAATAAAATAAAATTATCACAAACAAAATAAATAATAATTAATAAAACGATGACCAGATTTGAAAGATTAAAAAATCATAGGGGTGATATTGAAAATATTTGTAATTTAATATATTATTTATAGATTAAAAAAATGATAGGGGTGAAATTGAGAAAGGATAAGAAAATAGAAAAAAATCAACTTAAAAAAAAAAATTGCAAACTCAATTGAACCTCCTCAACCTAGTTTAATATCTAAAACTCGCAACCCATGAAATTCTAGATCTAAGTTAAATGAAAAACTTTAATTCTTATAAAATTTAATTTTGAAGGATGAAGTCGGTGAAAAAATATCAATAAAAAAAGCTTGTAAAAAAAATAACAAACAAAATGAGGATAAAATTTAATAGGAAAAGGCATAAGGGATGAAATTTAGGAAAAAAGAATAAAAATGATCATAGACAAAATAAATAGTAATTAACAAAATGATGACCAGATTTGAAAGATTAAAACATCATAGGGGTAGAATTGAAAAATATTTATAATGTGATAGATTATTTAAAGATTAAAAAATAATAGGGGTTTAAAATTAAAACAAATTGTGAAAGGGAACTCAAACAAAACAAAACAAAACAAAACAAAAACACAAATAAAAAAAATCATCTTAAAAAAACTCAAACAAACCTCCTAAACCTGTGAAATCTTGGATTTGGATTAAATCAAGAAGTTTAGTTATCAACCTATTTAATTTTAAAAAATAAAATCAGTGAAAAATATTATTAAAAAAGTCTTGAAAAGGGGGGCAAAAGAGCAAAGAAAAAATAAGGTTAAAATTTGATTAAAAAAACCTAAGAAGAATGAAATTAAAAAGCAAAAATGAACATAAAAAAATAAATAGAAATTAAAAGAATAAGAATCAAATTTGAATGATATATATATATATATAGGGATGAAATTGAAAAACATTCTTAATTTCATGGATCATTCAGAATTAAAAAATGACAAGGGTGAAATTGAAAAATAATGATAGAAAAACCAGAAAAAAATAACAAAACAAAACATAAAAGGGATAAAAAAAATTTATAAAAGAAAACATCACCTTATAAGGAAAAAAAATCAAGTGAATTCGGACGAACTTTTTAAACCTAGTCTTATCTCTAAAACTCACAACTTATAAAATCTTGGAGTCAGGTTCAATCAAAAAGTTTAATTCTCAACAAATATAATTTTGAAGGGCGAAGTCGGTGAAAAATATCAATAAAAAAATCTTGGAAAAGCAAAACAAAATAGCAAAAAAAAAAAAGAATGAGAATGAAATTTGGTAGGGAAAAAAACTCGATGATAAAATTTGAAAAAAAAATCATTTTAAATATGATGTCAAACAAAATAAATAGTAATTAAAAAAATAAGAATCAAATTTGAAAGATTAAAAAAATCACGAAGGATGAAATTAGAAGATATTTGTAATTTGATAGATTATTCATATACCTAAAAATGGGAGGGGTGAAATCAAAAAATGTTTATAATTTGAAAGATGATTTATAGATTTAAAAATAATATGGTGTGAACCTGAAAAGCATTTATAATTTTTATAACTTATTAAAAAAATAGTGTTCAAAAGCATAGGGAACAAATGTGAAGGAAAAAAGTTGTAAGAGCTGTTTTGAAATTTTGCTGGAGCTGGCACAAAATTCGATTAGGAGAGAGGAGAAGAAATAAAAAAAAAAAAGGGCATTTGGCTCAAAACTTGTAATGTCTTAGGTATACACGCATGCACCACTATGTTCAGGACCCCGTGATTTACCAAACATCATCCTAGAAGATGATATTTGATGGTCAGACAGCTCTACATGTATTGCTTGAATAACATGGGAATCATCCACATGTTAGTATATGCAAAACATTTAATGGCATCTTTTATAAAATAATATTTAATATATAATTATTACAATAATACCCTCAAGCAACATTCAAATCTATAACAAACTAATTTAAAATGATCAAAAAACTCTTATAAAAGAGTTATATTGTTTTTGTCTTAAAGGGTGTCAAAGGAATTGCATTATTCTAAAAAAATAAAAGGATAAAAATACCCCTAATCAAAAACTTTAAAATTATTTATTCCAATGCTAAATTTGTAATTGCACTATAAATTAAAAAAAAAAAAACATGATAAATATAGCCTTATGCAACATGTTAAAGATATTTGTATCGTGGTAAAAAGATAACATAACCCCCAAAGCTTAGTTCATTTGCTTCTTTTTTTTCAAGGATAAATTATTAATTACACTATTACTATTAAGTAGGAAAATATGTCTTGGGCTACATTTATATCAGTAGGAGACTTAGTTTTTTTTTATCTTACCTTTTTTAGGGTTTTATATATATATAACTTGAATGCTTTATAAGCTTACCTGGTTTCGTAGGTAACAAATGAGAAAATGCCATGTTCCTTGCTTCAGCGGGATCATGGCAAAATGAGCCAAGACTGGTAACATCATGGTGCTAGAGGATATTTATAGAGTTGGTGTTCGCAGAGGGAAGACTTATTCCCCTCTGATTGGGCAGTGATGGAACTGTTACTTATTTTTGTTCTTATCTGAAACAACTTATCCACAACACAAATCCAACTAAAAAAAGTAGATTCAAGCACAAAAGAGTCTCATGTTCATGGTGAAAAGGGGATACAGTACTTTGCCGATACATGTAAAATATCCACTGCTGAAATCACAAGTACCGGTGGAGTCCAGAACCAGAAGTTTTCAACAAAAGCACAAGGACTAATTAGTAATGTCACAAGCTACAAGGCAACCATCTGAGTTTCTTCATTTTCCAGGAACGAAGTTAGTGGCATATGCCCAAGCATTGTTGGCCACTGGATCGGCAAGGTGATCCAAAAGATTCTCGATAGGTCCCTTTCCAGTGACAATGGCCTGAACGAAGAATCCAAACATAGAGAACATTGCGAGGCGGCCGTTCTTGAGTTCCTTCACCTTCAACTCTGCAAATGCATCAGGATCATCAGCGAGGCCAAGTGGGTCAAAGGCACCGCCAGGATAAATGGGGTCAAGTCCTTCGCCAAGTGGCCCTCCACCCACTCTGTACCCTTCTACGAATCCCATAAGCACAACCTGGGAAGCCCAGATGGCGAGGATGCTCTGAGCATGAATGAGGTTGGGGTTGCCAAGGTAATCAAGGCCACCCTCTGAGTTTAAAATTATTTATTCCAATGCTAAATTTATAATTGCACTATAAATTAAAAAAAATATATATGATAAATATAACCTCATGCAACATGTTAAAGATATTTGCATCATGGTAATATATACACACACACACACACATATATATATAACTTGAATGCTTTATAAGCTTACCTGGTTTCGTAGGTAACAAATGAGAAAATGCCATGTTCCTTGCTTCAGCGGGATCATGGCAAAATGAGCCAAGACTGGTAACATCATGGTGCTAGAGGATATTTATAGAGTTGGTGTTCGCAGAGGGAAGACTTATTCCCCTCTGATTGGGCAGTGATGGAACTGTTACTTATTTTTGTTCTTATCTGAAACAACTTATCCACAACACAAATCCAACTAAAAAAAGTAGATTCAAGCACAAAAGAGTCTCATGTTCATGGTGAAAAGGGGATACAGTACTTTGCCGATACATGTAAAATATCCACTGCTGAAATCACAAGTACCGGTGGAGTCCAGAACCAGAAGTTTTCAACAAAAGCACAAGGACTAATTAGTAATGTCACAAGCTACAAGGCAACCATCTGAGTTTCTTCATTTTCCAGGAACGAAGTTAGTGGCATATGCCCAAGCATTGTTGGCCACTGGATCGGCAAGGTGATCCAAAAGATTCTCGATAGGTCCCTTTCCAGTGACAATGGCCTGAACGAAGAATCCAAACATAGAGAACATTGCGAGGCGGCCGTTCTTGAGTTCCTTCACCTTCAACTCTGCAAATGCATCAGGATCATCAGCGAGGCCAAGTGGGTCAAAGGCACCGCCAGGATAAATGGGGTCAAGTCCTTCGCCAAGTGGCCCTCCACCCACTCTGTACCCTTCTACGAATCCCATAAGCACAACCTGGGAAGCCCAGATGGCGAGGATGCTCTGAGCATGAATGAGGTTGGGGTTGCCAAGGTAATCAAGGCCACCCTCTGAGAAGATTTGAGATCCAGCCTTGAACCAAACTGACTCACCGAACTTGACACCATTCTTTGCAAGAATTTCAGGAAAGACACATCCAAGTGCTCCAAGCATGGCCCATCTGCTGTGGATCACCTCAAGCTCACGGTTCTTGGCAAATGTCTCAGGATCTGCAGACAAACCAGCAGTGTCCCATCCATAATCACCAGGGAATTCACCGGTCAGGTATGATGGGGTTTGCTCAGAGAATGGACCCAAGAACTTTGGGCGGTCTGGGCCATACCTGTTTTATAATCAGTCATGTGCTCAGCTTTTTATTGCAATTACATGGTTTGAAATGAACCTAAAATGTAGATCTTAGAACAAGCTGTAAAATGTGGTGGTGAACATCTTCCTAAGGCTCAGTCTCACAGTCCCAAGTTAAGAATTTCTTGAAGGAAATTTCCGTACAAGATTAGAGCTAAGAGATCATGCTCTTGGTGACTTGCTTTTTCTCTGATTGTTAATTGTTCCAACTTTTCAAACATCATAAACCACTGCTCTAATGACAATACAAGTCTACAAGTCGGAACAGTTCAAGATCAGAGTCAGTTCACGTAAAGATTGTTCATTATGCCTCTCCCGAAGCCATTAATTTGTTACACCATTCACTATTCAAATAAACATGTCTTGATGAACAACGTGCTGATAGTAGAAGCTAGCATGCTAGTGAATGTGTAGCAACAATGCTCGATGCTGCTAGTGACACTGCTAAACAACTCGGTAGCAATGGATGGGAAATCTTCTTCTTTTTCTGTGAATTTAGAAAATGGGAAATCAGAAAACAAGGACAACTTGCTTCCAAGACACAGTGATTTCTAGGTATTAGTGATTTTCCTACTCTATTTCGAAGTTCAAGAATATTTACAGACCTACCGACCTTCCTATATGAAAATGACCAAAATTGAAGGAACTACTTGAGAAAGTATCAGTGCATTCAAAGAGGTGCTTTTCTTGATTTTTGAGAACTAGAAATAGTATAATACTGATATTAGTTAATAGCTGGAGACCAGAAACATCACCATATGCTTTGGGGAGCACTTTTCACAGTTCTGCGCATGGTAACACGACCACCACCAAAGGAACCAACCTTCCGGACAAGATCATTTGGTTGCTTCAAGGCGGTCTGGCCAGCAAATGCAGACTGTTGAATTGCAGAGGCTGCCATGACTCTTCTTTGTTAATGCTGCCTCTAAGTTGCTTGCTCTGCTTTTCTCTTACTCTATCAAGGCTGACTGAGTGTCGATGCTAATCAACGCAGGCAGAGGGGAAATGTATAAGAAATGGCAAGATGTTGTGGATTAGGAAATCTACACGTCAGTGGTATCCCATTGGTTACTGGATAGGATGTGGATTTCCATGTTGATTTGTTTCAAGACAATATAGGCTACTCTTATGCCATGTGGAGTTGAAAGATCTTTGATGGTGGGGTGCTCATCATCGATACAAGCCACATTATATAGAGACTAAATTTAAAACAAAAGATTTATTTGGGTGGTTAATGCTCCTCGATCGATGAAAACAAAATAGACAGAAAAAAAGAAAAAGAAAAAGAATTCTACATGGAAATGGATAATAAAGATGTCAAATCAGCCATTTAACATTAACATTAAAAAAAAAAAAAACCACCCTTAAAAAGAGTTGGTGTTTTCACTTTATATTATATTACAAATTAGTATTCATTGTAATTGTAATAATAATTTTTTTAATTATTTTATTGATATTTTATTTATTAAAGATTAAATTTCATGATTTATTGTTTTTTTTTATATTATTATCTTAGTTTTATAATTTATATTATAGATTTAATAAGTTAGCTTATTTGATTTATAATTCTGTTGTTTCTTTTTTTAATTAGTATTTTTTTAGTTTTATTTTTCAACGTCCTTAAGATTTAATTGATTATAAATTAAACTTGATTATTTGTTTTGATTTTTTTATAAGGTTATCTATCTTTATCTTATGACCTTGGTCATAAGTCTTGCAAATTTACTTAGGTAGACTCAAGTTATTTTATTATGTCTTTTTTAAATTAAATTTTTTCTAATTTTATCATTCAATTTATTATTTATTTGATTTGCTTTTTATTTGGTTATTTTAGTCTCATGACTCGAATCATAAGCTTAATAGGTTAACCCGTGTTAATTTCAGTTATTTTTTTAATTTATTTTCTATAAAGTTATCTTGGTATCATAACTTGAGTTATGAGTTTAATGAGTTAACATAAGTTGACTTGAGTTTATTGTGTTCTTTTTTAAAATTGAATTTTCTTTCAATTTCATTCTTGGATTGTTTGAGAATTAAGTTTTATAATGTATTTGAATTTATTTTCTATAGGATTACCCTAATTTTATGACCCAGATCGTGAATTTAGCATATCAACTCGGGTTGACATAGTTATTTTTTTGTTATTTTTTAGTTTATTTTTTTAAATTCATCCTTTAACATTGGATTGATTAATAATTGAATTTTATAATTTATTTCGGTTTGCTTTATATGAAGTTTTCATGATCTCATGATCTAGGTCATAGATTTGAAATGTTAACTCAAGTTAATTCAAGTAGATCCAATATATTATTGTTTTTTTATAAAAATATATTTTTTAAAATATTTTTATTGATCGTTGAAACCCGTCGAGTTGACTAGGTCATATCAGGTCAACTATCACACAACTAATTTTTTTTACTAGAAAAACATTAGTTATATTTAATGTTTTTTAAAAAATAAATCTAAATGTTTTTTAAAAAATAAATCTAACTCACTATATAATTCGACAGTTATCTGGATATATATAAGTTGGGCAAGATTCATAGGCAAATTAAAAAACGGAAACTAATGGTTAGAATCTGATCCAACGCTTTTATTTTATGTCCTTGTTCATACAATTATTATTAGTATTATTTATGCTAAGTTTGCTAACAAAAACCCAGGACGGTAACAATAGTAGAGCTGAGAACTCATGGTGATAGACTTGAAATTGCGAGTATATGTTCATAGATAACTGCTTGAATCCATGCCTATGGATATGCCATCACTAGTTTTGATCTCTATCTCTTGCATGTAAACTGGTTTCAAAATATTTTGCTCAGATAATTATGGTACGTTTAATACAATTATTTACGTGTTTTTCTTGAAAATATTTTTCAACCATCAACAAGTTCATAATTTTCAAGAGGATTTGGTGTTTTTCTATCAAAAAAATAAAAAAAACAAACTTGTAAAAAGGATCTCAAAGCATCGTTCGTCCCCGAATTCCCACTTCAGGAGAGCTCTTAACTCCACAACGGTTTTCAGGTGGTTTAGATTTTTATTTTTATTTAAAAATATTTAAAAACAAATTAAATATGTTTTTTATTTAAATTAATATTTTTTATATTTTCAAATTATTTTAATACGTCAATATCAACAATATTTTTTAAAAAATAAAACATATATATATATATATATATATATATATATATATATATTAATACAAGTAAAAATCACTTTGCAAAATAACCACAGCAACATTCTTAAATACCAGTTAGTAAATATGCAGCTGAAAATATTAATAATGTTTTACAGATTCTATTACTCAATCTACAAAAATCCATCGGAATGAACTGCAACAATGTCAGTTACTCCATTGAAGAAGGATTCTCTTCTACTTTTGAATTGTCATGTACACTTCCTAACATGATTGCTGTCAGCATTAGCTTTCCTGCATCAGGGTAATCCTTGTGCTGCATCAGTATTGCTTCTACAGAGAAATCCAAATCTTCCAATGCTGAAACTTCGGAGTTTTCTTTTCGCAATGGCAAGACAGCATCAAAACCTTCATCGATAATTTCTGCGTTGGGTCCATAACAACTGCTTGATGCCTGGAAGAGCACTGTATCTCTCAGTTGCTGCAGGGTTTCCTCATCACTCCACCCTTCATCTTTAGATGCTTGATAGAGTTGACCCCAGTCATCCTGATCAGCAGCATTCTTCCAGCACTCCTCCAGGAGGTTTCTGTGACCTCTACGAAATGAGGAGCTAGTCCATGCAAACACATCAAAGCCCCGCAATGCAAGCTCTGGGTTTTGAGCTTTCAAGCACAGCTCTATGAGTTCTTCAGGACGGAAGAGCCTCTGTCCGTCATATTGATTTGCTTCATTGGCAGGAAGTACTTTCAGAATTTCTTCCTGCATGTAATGAAAGGTCAGGTCTGCGGGAGCTCATACAAAAGTTGAA